TCTGACCTGAGGAAAATAAAATAAATACTTCCATTATTGATTCGAGTTCTAATTATTTTGGAATTTAAAAAAACAGGCCAAAAAAATTAATTATCGAGCCACTACCAAAATATAACTCAAAATACACTATAAATCATTATTCTTCACAAACTGTGGTCAGTAGTTTCTAAATAGTCTACAAATCGTCGTAGGTGAAAAAATAATACTCTAAAGAAACTAGAGTCAATCCTTTCTTTCTTAACTGGAGTTCTTAATGTACTTCTAAATCTTTTCCGTTTTTCTTATTTTCTAAATCTTCAAGAAACAAATAATGACTTGTCATGTACAAATCCTTTTGGAAAGTAGATTAAAAATCTTCGCAGTGGTTACAAATGACCTGAGAAAAGCATAATAAATTCTTCCTTTATTGATTTCAGTTCTAATCGTCTTAGGTGATAAAAATAATACTCTAAAGAAACTAGAGTCAATACCTCCTTTCTTAACTAGAGTTCTTCATGTAATTCTACATCTTCTTTGATCTTCTTATTTTCTAAATCATAAAGAATGAATAAAAGACTTGAATGATCAAATTATTTTCAAAAGTAGACTATTAACCAACATTCTTGATAAAGTGTAGTCAATCTCTTAATAGTTTAATCGAAAAATCTTCGTAGTTGTTAAAGATGAGTGGTTCCCAAACATTTTTGACCTTGGACCCCTTTTTATAGTCAAAAATTGCCCAAGAACCCCCAAGTGAAAAAGCCACATAAATGCATAATATAAAAATTACAAATTAAAAAAAGTTTTGTTGATGAAGTATTTTTGAAATTATAAATATATATATAAATTATTATATTAATTACTTTTGTTTAAAATAAAGTTTCAAAAAAATTAATGACTTGGATGAACGTTATGAGATGTTATAAGTGTATCGGTTTCTTTCTTTTTTTTTGATGAGGTTCATAACGGCACTGAATCCAAGTTCGACCATATAGGAAGACGGGAAAGCAGTCAACAACGTCTGTACAATAACCCATAATGCAGGCTATAAAAATTGGGATCTGTTTTTGTAACCAGAATTTGTGGTATCCTTGTTCAAACATTTGTTTAAGTTCCTCATTTGTGGATATTTCAATACGCTGCTCCTGTATTGGTATGGATTCATCTGTGTTTGGGATCTGAGTTTGTCCACGTGCAAAAGGGTTCAGCACCCAGTCGGGAATATCCGAGTGAAGAATATCTTGAAATCTTTGGCTCAGGTCTGTACAAAGAGCCGTTAAGTGTTGACAGTAAGCAAGCAAATCTTCATTTCTAATTTGCAATTTCGAAAGATTTGGAAACTGAGAGCGTTCTCCTCTTCCCAAGTATTGTTTGTAAAGAAAAAGTCTTTCAACAAACGCAGATATTGCGCTTTTAGTTTTGATTAAATTTAATTGGTCAATGGCAAATTAGTTTCGTTAAATTTGGCAAATAAACTCATAGGCTATGTCATTTTTTGAGTTAATTAAATTGTGTCGCAAATCATTGTCTTTTGTTTCCAGGAATTCCACCACTGAATCAAAGAGCACATAAAATCGATTTAAACATGCACTTTTAGATAACCAACTTATACTTCTGTCTTTTGTTATATTATTTTATATTAAACCTTGCGCGGACCCCCTGACGTTGTTCAGAGACCCCCAATCAATTTTAATTTTCCACAGACCCCTTGAATGATACCGGGGACCCCTGGGCGTCCGTAGGGAACACATTGGAACTACTGTTATAGATGATGATCTGAAGAAAATATAGTCAATATTTTCATTATTATTAAAGTTCTAATTATTCGAATTTCCTTAAAAATAATTGAATAGCCACAGTCTGAGGATAGTACAGTCAATATTTATTTTATTGACTAAGAATTATACTTACGTTCATATTGACGCAGGGTTTCTTATATAGCTCAATAAACAATACAAATATTATTTAAAAAATGTCAACAGTTTACATGTTATTAAGGTTTTTATTACAAAATTAATGTTTAATACAGATGGTGCTCTGAAGAAATTGTAGTCAATACTAATTATTCTAACAAAACTAAATCAAAAGTGCATTATAAACCACGACTCTCGACGAGCTGTGGTTAGTTTCTAAATAGTCTAAACAACGTTTTATATTGACTAACGGATTCAGTTTGATACAATTAATATTTTAAAAACGTCAATAGTTTACATTTTTATGCGGAGTGTAGTTGTGCTAGTCGTTAACTCTAGGTGAAACATCTTCACTCGCGGAGTCAATTAGTCGAAACTAATTATTTTGCTACTTTCTTTATTGACTACGGTTTCCAATTTGATAGCGCAATAGACGATATATTTCTTTTTTTAAATATGTCAATAGTTTACATTTTTATGCGGGATGTAGTTCTGCCAGTCGTTAACACAAGGTGAACCATCTTCACTCGCGGAGTCAATTAGTCGAAACTAGTTATTTTTCTATTTTCTTTATTGATGAAGATTTCCAATTTGATAGCTCAATAGTCGATATATTTCTTATTTTAAAAATGTCAATAGTTTACATTTTTATGCGGGGTGTAGTTCTGCTAGTCGTTAACACAAGGTGAACCATCTTCACTCGCGGAGTCAATTAGTCAAAACTAGTTATTTTTTAATTTTCTTTATTGACGAAGGTTTCCAATTTGATAGCTCAATAGTCGATATATTTCTTATTTTAAAAATGTCAATAGTTTATATTTTGGTGCGGGGTGTAGTTCTGCTAGTCGTTAACTCAAGGTGAACCATCTTCACTCGCGGAGTCAATTAGTCAAAACTAATTATTTTTCTATTTTCTTTATTGACTACAGTTTCCAATTTGATAGCTCAATAGACAATATATTTTTTATTTTAAAAATGTCAATAGTTTATATTTTAGTGCGGGGTGTAGTTCTGCCAGTCGTTAACACAAGGTGAACCATCTTCACTCGCGGATTCAATTAGTCAAAACTAGTTATTTTTCTATTTTCTTTATTGATGAAGATTTCCAATTTGATAGCTCAATAGACGGTATATTTCTTATTTTAAAAATTCCAACAGTTTACATTTTATCCAGGTGGTTGTTTTTTAATTATTTTCATTAGTTTCGTGGTCCGCCTGACCAATTTTTAAGTAATGTTTGATATAGATGGTGCTCTGAAGAAATTATAGTCAATACTAATTATTTAAACGAAACTAAATCAATAGTGCACTATAAACCCCCATTCTTGACTAGCTGTGGTTAGTTTCTTAATAGTCTATAAATCGTTCTATATTGACATTATTTTATGCTTGGCAGAAATCATTTGAATTTGTTTTTTCATTCATACCATCCGGAATTTCGTGTGTTAATAACAGCAGATCTGATTCCTGGTGCAGCTAACTAGAGCAATTGAATTACACACTATGTAAAGTGGACGTACTAAAACTAGAATCTTGTAGTTATAAACTGAATAAAAATAAAATAATAAAATCCTGCGGTTTTTAAATCAGGCGATGTACGGTCGACGAGTCGGAACTGGGTTTCGTCAAGAAAATATAGCCGATGTAGAAAGTCGTGAAATAAATCGAATAGCATGTCGCGGCTATGCGTCGACCCCCAGAGAGCGAGTGTTTGTAAGTAATGATAACCTGGAAGGAGCCGAAATGTAAATGGGAGCAGGTATAACACGGCGGTTGAGAAAAAGGGCCCGTTACCACTGTAATTTACCAGAGCGATACCGATCATTTAAATTCAGTCTGTTGCCCGAATAGTCTACGCTAGGTCTAAGTGGCTGACGTCTCGAAAAGGGGGTAAAACTAGCCTCTTTGTATTCAAAAGGCCAAAGTGTCGAAAGAGTCGATGGAAATTTGTGTCTTTTTTTTTCTTTTCTACAACCGTCGACTTTTTACACCTTGGTTGCTGCTATTACGGAAAGTGGTCCATGGTGCCAGACGGAGTTTTTTGTATATGGTTTCCGGTGTTAAGACGAAACTTGGCGAGCCTCGGGCGCAGTTTTGATTTATGCCCTGAAGACGGATGACCGCCTTTTGTCTTCTGACTCCGCCCAAACTAGGATCTAGCGAATTTATAAACTCACGTTTACTTCTTTTCAACCCTTACAATAAAGGCTATATTTCAAATAGCTTTTTTATTTGAACCAAAGAAGAGACGATAATCACCTAACCGAACCAGAGTTTACTAAAAAGAAATATCACAAAAGGAATCGTTTAAAACCAGATTGCAACCGATAGGCCTATAAACAGGGAGAGGCGACACAGTGAACCATTTATAACACATTCAGATCGAAACATAAAAATTCGGTACTTTTAAAACTTCGTATAAAGTACTGTCAAGTGACAATGTCAGTCAATAAATCTCCAATCTGGAATAGGTCAAACTTTAAAAAAAAAAAAAAAACAGTTTCATCCAACTCTCTCTAATTTTAGATTAGATTAGATTAGAAGAAAATATTTTCTTTATTACGATCTTTGCGTGGATCCCTTTCACACCAATGACTCACGAGTGTGAAAAAATATCCGTATACTAACGTAACTCAAATTAGTTACAGAAAACAAGAATTAGGATCTGACCCAAATAAATTAAAACAATAAATGTATTAAGTTAAAAAAAATAATAAAATAAATAAATTGATCTCTGACATACGTAGCTTTTTGCCAAGGGAGGTGCCTTCAGCAACTTGAATAAGAGGTCCTTTCTCGTCCTTTTCTTTCTCAGCTCACACTGCCGATCCTGCGGTTGGAAATTAGCTTATCCTACACAAAAGAATAATCCTTGTTATTGAAAATATTGTTATATCTTTAAGAAAAATTTCCAGGAGATAGCCAATCGATTTTTAGGACTAAAAGTGGGCCCGGTGTTGAATTTGATCTGTACCTTAATTGAAGGCGGATAATTTTTTGTTCTTGGTTTGAAATAGCAAATAGAAAAGAGAAAAAAAACAAATAAAAACCCTCCCCTTCTCAAATAACTGGCCCCACGGTCTGGAACCTCAGTAGCGCCCGGTCCTTCCATCCGGTAGGTGGTGTACCAGAAGATTTCGGGATTATTTTCCCCCCTCTGGAAAATTTTGAATTTGGCTAATTCTGTTATTAAAGGTACGTAATATTTTTGCTACGTTTCGATCCATCAGCTTTTTTGATTGGTCAGCGCCTTTCTTTTCCTTTCTTGTCAACTATCCATATTCCAAATTTCATTGGGTTAAAGTCTAGCCGAATTTGACGGTTAGGATGCTCAAAAAAATTCAACACATACGTTAAAAAAATGACAAACTGTGACGATTTTTTTTGTTTCTTCAATTTTTATACACGTACGGCATTCTCATGTTCATGACAACTTTGATCAGTTTCTTATCAAAGATCGATTCTCTATTTCTTTCCCACCCCACTCTTGCACTCTCACTCCCTATCCCTTTCTCATATTTTCTCATTTTTCTCCCTTTTCCACACTTTATCTCTTTTTCTTCTCTTTCTTCCTCCCACTTTTTCACTCCCTATCACCTTCTATCTTGTCAATATCTCAAAATCACTCTCTTTCTTTTTATTTCTCTCCTTTTCCTACTCTGTCTTTCTTATTTACACTATTATTTTTCTCTCTCTCCCACTCGTTATCTCGCTCTCTTTTCTTTTCTTTTTCTCCATTCCTTTCTTCTCGCTTTCTCTATCTCTCTCCCTCGCTCTCTCTCTCTTTCTCTCTCTCACTCTCTTGCTCTCTCTCTCTCTCTCTCTCTCTCTTCCTCACCCAGTCGTATTACATGTTTCCCTCTTTATCTTTTATCTGTCTTATTCACACAATCAATTTTGCTATCTCTCCCACTCGTTGGCACACTTTCTTTTTCCTGTTGTATTTCTCGATCCCTTTTTTTTTCTCACTGTCTATTTCGTATGATAGTTCACGCTTACTTTGTTCTTATCTCTCTGTCTCTCTCACTCACTCTCTTTTTTTTCTCTCTCTCTCTTTCTCACCCAGTCGCATTACATGTTTCCCTCTCTATCTTTTATCTGTCTTATTCACACAATCATTTTTGCGCTCTCTCCCACTCTTTGGCACTCTTTCTCTTCCTCACATTCTCTTCCTGTTGTATTTCTAGATCCCTTTTTTTTCTGTCACTGTCTATTTCGTATGATAGTTCACCCTTACTTTTTTCCTTCTCTCTCTCTCTCTCTCTCTCTCTCTCTTTCCTTCTCTCTCTCACTTTCTCTCTATATCTATCCTTCCCTTCTTCTCCCTCTTCCTGCTTCTAATAATTTTCAATATTTCTCTCTCTCTCTCTCTCTCTCTCTCTCTCTCTCTCTCTCTCTCTCTCTCTCTGCCCTTATATATCAATCTATCACTACCTCTCTTGCTCTCGAAACTTTTTCGTTCAAATTCTCACAAGATTACTGTTTCTCTATCAACATTTTAATTTTATTACAATTCTTTAAAATATAATATATTCATGGTATTAGTTTGAGAGTTAGGTTTACTATATTCTTCATCGTATAAACTAATGATTTCCTCCAATTCGATATCATTAGAAAATCTCGGTCTACAAATAGTGAATTGTGTTTTGGAAGGCGAGAAGGTTGTGTTTGTGGAGTGCCGTAAACAAGAGAGTTAAAAGTTTATAATCTTCGAAATAAGCCAGCTGCGGGCGGTACTTTCCCGTCGTGTGGGGGACTTTCCGAACGTAAGTTTTATGATTGTGGACCCATTGGAACAACCGAAAAAAAATCTCGTCGCTGAGATGGGCATTAATTCTTAAGAGGTGTTTGACTCCAAAAATGTCTTCTTTGATTTTTACAGTTTAACACGTCTATTGTTTAACTAACTATGTTAACCATTGTGAAAAAATCCTCAAATGACGATTCCATTCGGTTGATTCATTTTAACATGATATAATATTTTAGAAAAAAAAATATTTGAACCGTTTCGTTTTGCGTAGAAAATTGTTCAAATTAATATTGTTCTTATATAATATACACCAACGGATCATTCAGATTTTAATCAGATTTTGTTTTTTTCTCATTTTATCTTTATTTCTACAGTTCTCTGATAGCAAATTGAACGAAAATTTTAAAAAGTGACAAACAAAACATAAAGCGACTTTGCTACTTCGGCCTTATCTCATCTATCTCTGTAATCACCCAAATCTCTCGTTCGTTTTTTTTTCAGTACTAGTTTCCTTTTTACGATTCAAGCTACTTATTTTTTATTCTGTTATTTCTTAACCGGTTTCTGTCATTCTCACCTTTCAAGTTTTTCAATTTTTCTCTCTCTTCTTTCTCTCTCTCTCCTTTCCCCCCCCCCTCTCTCTCTCTCTCTCTCTCTCTCTCTCTCTCTCTCTCTNAATTTATACAGATAAAGATTGACATTTATAAAAAAAAAACACCTGCGAACGTATATTGTTTGTTTTATTTTACATTGTGTTTTTGTTTTATTGAAACGTTGGTTGTCAAATTGTTATTAAAAAAAACAAGACTTTTCGTCTCTACATTATAAATTATAATTGGAAAATACATCCATATTTGCTTAGTGGTCATAATTGACTATATTAATTATTCCAATTAATTATTCTTTTTATCTAAGGTATTTAGTTGAGATGAAAAATTAGTGCCCTGTTCGTGACACTAATTTTTCATCTCAACCAAAATACTTAGATAAAAATGAATAATTAATTGTAATTGGAAAATATATTGTAAAGACCAAAGGAGTCTAAATCATAATAAATGTATAACATAACCTGTACAACTCAGGTTGAGTGTAAGAAAGGTCCAAAAGCCCTAAGTTTGTGTAAATAAATAAAACCATCAATCAATCTCCCCTTCACACTCACACTCTCTCCTACTATCTTTCATATGTATGTTTTTCCATACTCTCACTCTGTTATTCATTCTTCATGTCACTTTTTGTTCTTTTTTTTTAATCCGGCTTCTGTCACTCTCACTAATCACTTCCACATCTCTTAATTACTCTCTCTCTCCCTCTCTCTCTCTCTCTCTCTCTCTCTCTCTCTCTCTCTCTCTCTCTCTCTCTGAATATGTTGCCTCACCCTCTCGCTACCTTATTCACTCTTCCTGTCACTTTTTTCATTAACTTATTTTTTTAATCCGACTTCTGCACTTTCACTCTTCAGATTTTCTCCCTCTCTCTTTCTCCCCTCTCTCTCTTTCTTCTCTCTTTCTCCCCCTCTCTCTCTCTCTTCTACCTTTCTACCTGTGTTTTTTCGCATCCTCTCTCTCGTTTATTCACTGTTTCTGTCACTTTTTATTCACTTATATTTTTTGTATTGTTTTTTTAACCGGCTTCTGTCACTCTCCTTGGGTTTTCCCCATTTCTTCATCCCCTTCTCTCTCTCTCTCTCTCTCTCTCTCTCTCTCTCTCTCTATCTATCTATCTATCTATCTATCTATCTATCTATCTATCTATCTCTATCTCTCTTTCTGTATGTGTTGCTGCACACTCTCAATAATATTTTCTTCTTCCTCTCATTTAATCATTCACTAATTTTTCTCATCACGCTTTTGCCCTCTCAATCTTCAGGTTTTCGCTTCTTTACACTCTTCTCCCTCATTGTCTGTCCTCTCTCTCTCCTTCTCTCTCTCTCTCTCTCTCTCTCTCTCTCTCTCTCTCTCTCTCACTCTCTCTTCTGTATGTATTCTCTACACTCTATTTGCTTCTTTCACCCTTACTACTACTTATTTTTTCATTCACCTAATTTTTTACGCTCTATTTCTCTCTCCTCTCTAGCTTTCTTTCTTTCTTTGTCACACACGATCTACCAATTCTCACTTTAAAAGGCGACGTTTTCTTGAAGAGTAAGCTTTCAAAGTTGGCGGAAGCGAAGTTCTTATCCCCATGTTGAATTTTTAATTTGCCATCCGGTTTGAGGGGCGGTAATCGGCGTGGTGGCGGGAGGCTGGAAATCGGTGTTTTAAAGGCCCATTAGGGATCCAATTGGCCCGGTGATTTGGAAACGTTTTGGAAAATTGGATTTGCAACATGTCGCGCGCCCAATTGCATGCAATGTACCCTCACTTAAAAAAGCTCCCCAGAATTTATTGCCCGTCGACAATTATTTTAAGTAAGGGGATGGGATGAAAGGGGATAGGAGAGAATTAAAAATAGGGAGGGAGTCTGAAAATAATTAATAATTTAATCCGACATGGTTGATAATATGGATATTTTATAAGTACTCATTATTAAATATCAGATGCAAAATAAATATTTAATTTCAAAGTCTAACGTATAGAACGATACTTAAAAGTATTTCAATATTAATAAATTGTATATTAATTAACAAAACAGATTTATAATTTTGTAAAATTTATTTTTTAATTTTATTAGCATTATTACACTTTTTTTGCAATAATTGCGGCGGCAATTTTGGCAATAATTTAGAACAATTTTAACGGTTTTATTCAAGGAAGTGGCTTTTGAAAGAAAATACGACCCCGGCCTATTTTAAAATTTGTTGAGTTAAAGCTGGGCCGTTTTAGATGGCGATTTGATTGGAAGCAATGCTCTGCCGACAGGATGAACTTCATAGGCTTTATCCTTCTTGTCTCTCTTTTAAAGGGTGTCCTCCAGGAATTGAAACTTTACGGATCCGCGACCGCAGCCGGTGTCAAATGCAGGGCGATTCAGGTAAGATTTTTATTATATTTATTTTATATTTTACTAATTAAAATTGTATTAAAACTGTCATAGCCCAATAATTAATAAACACAGACATCTCAAAAGATTGTAACCGTTCTTTTGTATTTAAGCTTTATCAAATTTATTAATCAGTCTTAATTTTTAATTTTTTCCTGAAAAAAGTATAAACTTTTTAAAGTTCCTTTTAAATTGCTAAATTAAATTTTATATTGCCAACTTTAAAGGCCATGTCAATTGTAATTTGAATAAAACAGAAGCAAAATGAACTGTCAAGAGGAGGCTACTGACATGGGATCGCCGATTTTGAAGAAGATATGCTTTTCCTACTATGTTCTGCATGCATTGCAAGGTTATTATATTTTAGGCGACTTGTTTTATGGCCTAGAACCATAAAAGAATGTTACAAATAAGATAGGGCCCTTTCAGTAAAATAGGCCAAAAAATTTGGCTTTTTTTTTACCAACAAGACGTTAAATACAAATTTTTATAATCAAAAAATAGATATTTTTGAGCCCAATCAATGAGCAATTTTGTTTCTAGCCTATGTTACTTGCTCCACATAAAAGTCCTTCAAATCAAAGTTTAAGCAATCTCTGAAAATCAGAATATTTCCTCGTTCGAGCTGTATCAGCAACGTTTAAATTTTATATCAGCGTGAATGAGAAAAATGGAGATAAAAAAAAAAAACGGGTAGTGTGAGTGTAATTTTTAGCATAAAAGGTAGCTTCTCCCCAATTACCACGAGGAATATCGAGTAATTGGGGTCGAGTAAATGAATGTGCGAATGTAATTTATTAGCGCGAATGGAAGAGTGTATCAAATCACTCCAAGGAATATCGAATACTCTTTAGTAGTATGAATGTAGTCTGGTATGTGAATGAAATTTATTAGCTGAATGGTAGGGTTTAATAAACCCTACCATTCTCGCCAATAAATTTCATAAACCCGTTTTATTCCCTATTTTCACAAGGAATGTCGAGTGCTCGGGTAGTACGAAGTTAGTCTGGTATGTGAATGAAATTTATTAGCGTGAGTGATAGGGTGTATCCCCAACTACCGTGAGGAATATCGAGGGCTCTGGGGTAGTGTGAATGTAGTCTGGTTGGGAATGTAATTTATTAGCGCGAATGGTAGGGTTTACCCCAACTACCTTGAAGAATATTGAGTACTCTGGAGTGTGTAGTTAGATTATTGAGAACCAGACTGCGATGTTTCTATTTTATTCCTTTGTATTTTTTTGTTATTCATTTATTTTATTCACAATTGACTAGGTACAGAGGTATAGAGTTACGACAAAAAAAAAGAAAAAAAGAGAGAGTTGTTTACTCTTGTAACATGAAACATCATATCTTGGCTGGAGAAACAATAAAAGAAATTAGTATGATTAAAACGCGAGAAAGATAAGAAAAAAAACGCAAAGGTAAGGAAAAGAAAGCTGGCGATGACCAATGTTGTTTGCCAGTTATAAAACTAAAGAAAAACAACTCCTCAAGCCTTTTATTTCATAAATCAAATTATAATATTTTTACAGAGGCCAGATTTATGCCATTATAGGGGGTTATACGGTTCTAAACAGGTCTAAATTTTTCTATGTATCGGTGAAGACATTTCAAAATGATCAATTTTCTATGATTTTCGACAAAAATTCGAAGTTTTCTTTATTTGGAAGGCAAAAATTAGAGAAAAATATATTTTTGATTTTCACGAAAATTCGTAGGGGTTTTTCGGTGTAAAGAACCTATCAACTTGCATACTAGCGAAAAATTTGATATTAGTTTTTTGCACCTTAAAATTCCTCGGATACAGACTTTTGGAAAAGTGAAAAAATAAATTTTTAAATTAAATTCACTAATTTCATGGTCCCTTGACCAATTAATATATTACAATTAATTAAGGTTTTTAGTTGAGATAAAAAAGTCAATAACACGACCGGGATTCGAACCCACGATCTTCGGCTAAATACGCCGCTTCTCTACCATTTGAGCTATCGTGACCTCGGTCCACTCGGACACTAACTTCCCATCTCAACCGCACCTTTTGAATTTTCCCTCCTTTTTGCCATTTATCATTTATTCATTTGTAGCCGAGAATCAAATAGATTACACGAAATTTGAAAAATGGCAAAAAGGAGTGAAAATTCAAAAGGTGGGGTTGAGATGGGTAGTTGGTGTCCGAGTGGATCGAGGTCACGATAGCTCACGTGGTAGAGCAGCGGCGTATCTAGCCAACGATCGTGGGTTCGAATCCCCTCGTGCCATTGAATTTTTTATCTCAACTAAATACCTTAATTAATTGTAATTTTTTAAATTAAATTTTCCCTACAAATATCTACTTTATTATTGGAATTAAAACAAATATTCTCGCTGATGTCAGTTGTTCAGTTTGAAAATTTATAATTCCTCTGAATCCTTTCCAATTTGAAGGTTTATACGAATCATTAGGAAAGAGAAAATTATCCCATATCATTAGTAAAGCATAGGCCAAGCGATATGACTTACGGACTCTTATTTCTGGGGCAAAGCTGTCAATAAATGTCCGGCACGTAGAGAAAAGTTACTCGATATGTCCCACCTAATGGAATGGTGCCATTCTTTGGCTCCATATAGAGACCATGTAGGAATGCCACACGGCATAAGAATTGTGCTTGTCCAGAGTGTATCTCTTATATAGATTTTTAGACGGAACATTTGTATTGCTTTTTTTGATACCTCGTCTTGTGTTTATTAGCATAAATGTGAGGGTAAATAGGTTTTAATGCTAGAAATATCGACCACTTTTTCACTCACAAACACGCTAGATCTAGTTATGGTTTTGAAGGAATAGCAAATTCAGTTGTTACTGCCAAGCTTTACCTATTTTAAGTCACCATCAGGATAAAGCACTACTAAATAAACTAAGGATCGTGAGAGATCATTCTTACAGTCACTACTTCCTGACATGCTTTCCCGTACACTCGGTCGTCCTTAAATGGACAATGAGGATCTTTAATGTCCACACCTAGCCTTTTCGGCCTTATCGGACGTTTTGATTATCAATATGAGTGCTGACGACAGAATGGTATTACTACGCAGCATTGGTGTAGAGGCAGCTCAGCCCCGAAGAGCCAAGAGGACCTCGCTCCCCGATTGCCCATTCCGAGTAGTCGGGTTGCCCATTAAGCATCGAACCGTATACCGCGCGCAAAGGGCTACCTAAGCCGAAATACATCAGCCTGATCTCCCGCGCACTCCCTAGATAGAGAAGGCCACTCTACCACCCAGAGTATTGGGGCTTCCCAGCGTAGAAACTACCGGATCTTCTCCGGCCGCGGTTTTGTTTATAGTGGAATTGCTAACCACCCACTAGAGGAGACCGCCTATGATAAAAGCCTCAAATCGAGCTCAGCCTACACCTGCGTGGAATGCATACACGAAAAGGAGCAACCGATTCACTGCCCTTTTCCATTCGCCACTACTCACGCATTCGAGGGACTCTGACAGCTTAATCATAGTTATACGATACGCTTATACGCTTCGGTCCGATCCTTCGTATCCCGTGAGGCCGGGTGTATAACGATGGTCATACCAAGTTTCTTGCGAAGGTCAGATAGACCCGCCAGGGGCGTCACCACGAACTCTACGAGCCCATTCCCAGTGTAACAGGGGCTGAACCTTGGAACATTTCTGTTACCCAGTAGTACAGATGGCTATGCACCCTCCCCCGTCCATGCAGACAGGATCTGGTACCCTAACCCTCGTGTGCCTCTGATAAGGCACCCGCCGCCCCATGCCGACCCCAGGCCGACACGAGTACAGGTTGTGCTATTGAGAGGTTGCCACGTCCTCAGGGCTGCACCATTATTTTGCTATTTCGCGCTCGGACACACCTCTTGTAACCAAGGGTTGGCAAGGAAGAATGAAGGAACCTGGATTGAGAGAGGGACGTGGATGAGGACACGTTTCATGGGCCCCGAGCCTTAACCACAATGTACCACACGACGTTGTTGTAGTTCCACATTAAGTGGGCTGTAACTCCCTGGGTGGACTACTTCCAGATAAGCAGATATAACCCAGTGTTGGTACTTACCCCCGCCTTTGACTTCTAATCTGGAGACTCCAGACGACAAGGATGCAGTTTGCACCGCCGGGAAAATCACTGGTTTGCCTTTGCACATCTATCACCACGGTTCTTCATCCGTCAGGAAGGCACCACCGCACCGGGTGATGAAGGACCTGCGCGACAGGAGCCTTTTACATTAACTAAATGAAATTCAATTTACAGCACTGGCTGGTTTCTATCCCTAACATATCTCCCAGATTTGTGTATAATTATCTATACTATTGCTCATTGCTACTGGTAGCAATACATTTTGAAAAAATACATATTACTATTTGAGACCCACACGGTATTCAACTACTCCAATTCCTACAATCCAAAAATGTGAGAATCATCTTCAGTGGTCCTTTTGACGTATCCAATCCTATCATTCTCAATGACCTGAAAATCCAGTATGTCCTTGAAGAAGTAAAAACCTCTACAAGAACTTTCATAAAAATTAGTATAGTTTTCAAATGGGAGTAGTGTTTAGTTAAATCCTTCTGTTTTTTTCATAAAATAATATTCAAATAATGTAAATGCGTGTTTCTAGGTTGGGAAGGGGTGAAATAAATTTTTGAAACGAGAAACTAGAGTCACGGAATGCCGTTATTTGTCCTGAAACTTAATTAGCCCTTTTCTGAAGAGATTTTCCAACGGCCGGAGCGATTTATTAAGCAATAACGCGTTCCAGTGTTTCCGCAACGCTTCGCACAGTTTTCAATTATGCGGCCTCCCGGGGGCCCGGCCGTAAACCTGCGGCTCCAATTAAAATATGCGTTTTGCGTAGTTCGATGTTTACGGAGGAAAAGGCCGTGACGTGGTAGCTAAGAGGATGAGCTCGCCTGGGAAGCTTAAACTTCAAAATCCGCCCTTTTCACCCGCCTCCTCTGCGATTAATTATATTCAAGTTT